ATATATATATATAAAATAACTTTTTGGTTCGAAGAGAAATATTCTGTTGAGGATATTCTCTGGTAGGGTTAAAAAAAAGTCCTATTGATATTTTAGCACTGAAGATTCTCGTCCTACTCACATACATATGGGTTTTATTTAACGTTTTTTCAGATGAAGGTAGATATAAAAAATGTAACTAAAATTATTGAACACAACGATGATATTAGAGAGATAATATATTACTTGAGTGGCTAAATTCTTTAGTGATACTCCCTCCAATATCAATATTACGTTTAATAACTATTGCGTTGTGTTATTTATATAAGATCCGATATATATATATATATAAATAAAGAGAATTTTAAATTTAATAATTATTTTTTAATTTTATTATTTATGTCACTATAAAAAAATTTTGATGTCGTTATGGAAATAACTTGTAGCTTGTAATTTACAAAAGATAAACTTACAGTTTATATAACCTATAAGTTATTAATGGCATAAATACATTTAACAGTGCCATAAATAAGACTAATGTTACTTTATTAATAACCTAAAACTGCATGGTACCGATGAAATGTGTTTTATATTCCACTAATGAATTCTTTGACATCTATTTAAAATTTAAGGCTTGTATGGTAATATTCTCTCCCTAAAAGCATAATTGTTTGCGCTGCTTACTTTCAACTCGATAATACTTGAAAGACATGCACCGGCCTAGCTGCAAAGCACTCAAATCTTTCTATTATTTTTAATATATATTATTAGTTCAGTCACGGGCACAGTAGAAAATAACTTTATAAATTTAACTCGCGTTAAAATACGTGATTTTTAAAAAAATTAAAGTCAATTAGTTGGAGTAAGAGGAAAAAAATTCAAAAAATATCATCAAAAAAGAATTAAAGTTATACGAGAGTTTTTAACAAAAAAAAAAAAAATTTAAGCAGGAAGATATTTAAAAAGAATTATTTTAATTAAAAAAATGAGAAAAAAGTATTTTAAAGAAGAATATTAAAAAAAATGAATTGTCAAAGAATATTAGGAAAAAAATAAAAAATTGACAATAAACAAAAGAAAAAAGTACAAGTAAAAAATAAAAAAAATATGAAAGAAAAAAAAGAGAAGTTGACACATGATTAAAAAGAGCGTATTCTCTTTTATCTCTTTTATGCACGTTTATATTTGATTTAAATTAGATATATATTTATATATTTTTTCCGTTTGTTGCTTGATTATTTTATAGCATTCTTCACTTGTAAATTTGCATAAAGTGCGCAATTAATTATAACAAATTATAAAAGGCAGTATACTGTAGCAAAGTGAACTACACTTATCTTCCGTCTAAATTACAAAGACATTATCTGATTAAAATTTTCTTAAGTGAACACCCTTCGACACGAACTTTATTAACTCATGAACCAAAATCAATCCAAGTCGTTTATCTACTTTTTACTTTATCTGCACTGTCCATTTGAAAATCCTAACATATTAGCACAAAAGAAAACCGTCTCACTCACTGTTAAGGTCCCAGTCCGATTCACTTATGTCAAGAGACCTAAGACCCAGACGAAAGCCTAAGAGCAGGAAGGAGATTTTGTGCAGGTTGCTGAAAGAATTCCCGAGGAGGAAGTATCGCTTGACTGAGGCAAAGAAGCTGGACGCTGTTGTCATTAATCTTGACGGGAATGCCCTAGCATGGTTCTAGTGGGCAGATGGGAGACGAGCAATCACATATTCGAATTTAATCTTATTAAATTTTAGGTAAAACCATTTTTTAAAATCATGGTGTTAGTAGTTTTTTGGATAATTGTTTTAGCACTAAAAAATTTTATGAATAACAATAATTTTGATAATTTTAATTATTTAATTATTGTCACGTCAATAATTACTATAAATACCTATTTACTACTATAATTACTAAATAATCTACGTAGTTCCAACACAAAACAATAACTAAATCCATAAAAGAAAAGGAAAGAAAATAACTAAATGAATGTCATCCCTCATGAATAAGTCGTTTTTAGTTATTAAAAAAAAAAAAATTTTCAATCAATTTGTTTTTATTTTTATTCTGTTTTTACTTTTATCCAATCCTTTATTTTATTTGAGAAATTTATTTTTATTTTTTGAGTGTAATTTGGCGCTCCCAACTTGCAAACAACTCCTATATAAGCCTCGAAGTCCTAAGCGCGCGGTTTTTATTTTTCGCCAAACGATCTTCTCCCAGAACCAGTTAGAAAAAAAAAAAAAAACAAAAAAAAACAAAGAACACCAGAACTGTAGATTAGTTCTCGCAAAACCCTTCAATGGAGGAAGAAGACGAGGCAATGGTTATGGAAGTGGAAGAAATACAAGAAGAAGAAGAGAGAGCACCAAAAGAAAAAGAGCCTCCCAAAATTCGCCGCCTAGCGGAGTCCGTTGTGAACCGAATTGCCGCCGGAGAAGTCATCCAACGCCCCGTCTCCGCCGTCAAGGAGCTCGTCGAGAACAGCCTCGACGCGGGCTCGTCCTCCATAAACGTCGTCGTTAAGGACGGCGGCCTCAAGCTCATTCAGGTCTCCGATGACGGCCACGGAATCAGAGTCTGTCTTCCCTCTCTTTTCCTCTCTATTTTCCCGGAAATGGAAAGAAATCTCTCGGTTTTTCTCTTTTTCTAGGATTTTTTTTTGCTCTGATTTGGAATTTGATTGTGCTGTTTTAGTACGAGGACTTGCCGATACTATGCGAGAGGCACACGACGTCGAAGCTGTCTACTTTCGAGGATTTGCAGTCGATAAAGTCGATGGGATTTCGCGGAGAAGCACTGGCGAGCATGACCTACGTTGGCCACGTTACGGTTACCACCATCACCAAAGGGCAATTGCATGGTTACAGGTAGTGCACATTACCTGTTTGATTCAATGCGTCTTTGGCTTCTGATTATGTGGAAAAAAGGATTTTGAGAAAGTCGAATTTTCTATATTGGAGCATCTCCTTTGCACTGCCATTTTTGTTCTAAATTTGCCTGTCAGCTTTGGCACCAAACATGGCGTATGCAAAATTTTGGCATTTGATTGTTTTTATTTAATCATTAGAACATTATTTTTTATAAGATTAAAAGTGAACTTTTTATAAGTTTCAAAGCTTAATGATTATGAGAAAAAAAGTAGGTACAACATTTGAAGTAACATTATTCATGGAGCACAAATAAATAACATATTAAAAATACCATTGGCATTTGCATTGGAGATGGTTTTGTCTTATTATGTTTAAGGAAATGGTCTTGCTCACATGGGTGGTGAACATTTGAAAGTTGTGTTGACTAAAAAAAAAGAAAAAGAAAAGAACGGTTCAGTTTTCTTCTTGGTGTCTTTATTTTTGAGAGAAATGGATTGTGTTTTTCTTAAATCAGCTTCATGGTTGATCAGGGCATCTTATAAAGATGGAGTCTTGGAACACGAGCCCAAGGCCTGTGCTGCTGTAAAAGGAACTCAGATAATGGTAGGAACTAGAAAATTGTGGTTTGCCATAAAGCTGGTAAAAGTTTCATTTTTTCTTTTTTCAAAAAATTTTGAGAACTGTCTTACATACTGAACTCTGTGTGTAGACATAGGATCTGAAAAAGGCTTTCGGTTTGATTATGAGAAAGCTAGGGATGAATTGGAAAATATGAAGCTCTTTCTGTTTTCAGCTGCTATCTCATCCATGAAACTAGAAATAATTTTGGTTTTGAAGAATTACCTTTTCATGCACAAGATGCTTCTGCTTAAATTTCCAAGTTGTATGTTCTTAAAAATTAAAATGCATTATTAGGTTGAGAATCTGTTCTACAATATGGCTGCTCGGAGGAAGACACTGCAAAATTCTGCCGATGATTACCCGAAGATTGTAGACTTGCTAAGCCGTTTTGCCATTCATCACACACATGTTAGTTTCTCTTGTAGAAAGGTGGGTCTCTAGCATGCTGATCATTTATATTTATTATCCTTTTTCCTGCAAGGTTGGAGATTTTTATTGACTCAGGACTAGAGTTTTTCTTTTTCGTTTTCTTATCCTTGCTATTGCAATCAGCATGGAGCTGCAAGAGCTGATGTCCATTCTGTTGGTGTGCCATCGAGAATTGATGCTATTCGGTCAGTTTATGGGGTGTCAGTAGCTCAAAATCTGATGAACATTGAAGCTTCAGATGATGATCCATCCAGTTCAATTTTTAAGATGGACGGCCTCATCTCCAATTTCAACTTTGTTGCAAAGAAAATAACGATGGTTCTTTTTATAAATGGTATGTATCATTGATTTTAGTGCTATGAGTTCCTAATGCTATCTATGTTGTGAGTGTTGAGGATGGAAGTATGGTTAAGATTTTAAAAGCTAAATTTTAGGTTTCTGTCTTGCTTCTTTAGTGTCTTCATGATTACTCCAATATCTGGAGCTAAAGTGTACAAACCATGAAACTACTGACAATGCCCTAAGCTCAAAGTTGTTGTTCTTGTTTTTTTTGTTTGTTTGTTTTTTTTAATAGTAATTTTGACATTTTGTGTGCTGTTATTTGCTATGAATTATCGTAGATTCACTGAATTGATGTTATATGCCGAGTAAATATGCGAACAGCCACATTGATTCATTCGCACAGAAACCTAGAAATTTCCTCTTAAGAATATAAATTACGTGTTTCTTTCCCTTGTTTTTCTTCCACTAAAGTTGTTTAATTTGATTAATTTTCCTTTTTAGCACAGATAGATTGGTGGAATGGACTGCTTTGAAAAGATCTCTAGAAGTTGTTTATTCTGCAACATTGCCTAAAGCATCAAAACCCTTTATATATATGTCAATTACACTGCCAGCAGAGCATGTTGATGTTAATGTTCACCCAACAAAAAGAGAGGTATGTACTTTTAATACTTTTCTTTGGATGAAATTTACAACTGTGAATCTGTGATAGTGGTTTCGAGTTCCGTAGCTATTGAAACTCTTGGATGAATACACAGTTGTATTATACGTTTGGTTATAATGTTAAAATGGTAATGATTGGAAGAATAATCTAGTGGGAATAGGAATGAAATGGAACAAATTGATTTCTTTATTTGATAGGGACTTTGAGTTCAGATCCTGGAGTAAGATTTGTAGCTGTGGTTGACTACAGAACGAAATGAAGCTAGATTTATTTTGACCAAAATGGGCCCATCCTTAAGATAAATATGGAATTACATTTTCTTTTGTAGTGTAGCTTGTTTTCCCCTAGTCTTGAACTCTGTTTCTTACAGAAAAAAAGTAAATGTAGATTGATAAGCTTTTTCTGATACTGGTTCATTCTCGTATCCCATTCTTTTTTCTCTTTCTCCTCATTAAAAGTAAATGTAGATTGATAAGCTTTTTCTGTTATTGGTTCATTCTCATATTTCATTATTCTTTGTCTTCTTCTCATTTCCCCTCAGTAGTTTCCTCAACCCTTATGTCCTCTTTGGTTCTGCATGTTCTCTTCTGCATTTTAAATTATTTATATTTTTATCTTATTTTGTATATTTTGTTGCTTACGATTAAAGCGACAAAAGGAGTGGGAGAAAACTGCAGGCGCACTACTTTTTGGATTGACATGTTATGTGTACTGAGAACTCATATTTATTGAGTGCTTGTGATTGGTAACACATCATTTTCCATTTAGTACACAGTTTAGGGAGTGCTAGACATCTAGATGAACAAGACTGCCTAGAGGCATGGACTCTTCTATGAAGTAGCAGACCAAAACTTTTTTCAGGGGGCATAAATTTAGCAACATTTTTACTAAAACTACAATACAACAATCTTTTACCTTCGGTTATCTATTTGTATCTTTGAGTTTTTCCTCCTAAATGAACTAAGCTATTTATTTCAATATTTAAATTTTAGAGTTCAAAAGTTTGTCAATTTTATATAGTAGTATAGTTGGTTCTTAATTTGTTTGAGATATTAAGTTTGAAATATGAGTACTTAAAAATCAAAACTTAGGGTATAATTGAAATTTCTTAAAAAATTGTATAAATGTAATTAAAAAAATTTCAGGGATTGGCAAATAAGGAACAAAGTTGTAAAGGTTTTTCAGTTAGGGTCAGAACCTTGAAGAGCTCTTGGGCCCAGGGGGCAGCTGCCATCCGGGCCTGCTGTAGTTTCGCCCCTGCTTCTATGTATGCGATGTATCTTGTTCAGAATGCACAAGAGTAGTATGTCACTAATAATGTGGAAATTTCAGCATCCTAAGCTTTTAATCTTATTTTTATTTTTTTGGTAATGAAGAGTTGAGAGAAGTTACGTTCATTGCCTTATTCCTATATTGAAAAACGTTATGTTATGTGGACACGCAGGTAAGCATTCTAAATCAGGAAATCATCATTGAGAAGATACAGTCAGTGGTTGAGACAAAATTGAGGAATTCCAATGACACTAGGACATTTCAAGAACAGGTAATTTTTCAACTGGGTGTCAGCTCAGACTTGATATCTTTAAATACTTTACATAGAAGCTTTTTGAAGTTGTTTCTTATTTCCTTTTTTATGGAAACATTCAATGATATGGGACAGTTGTCAATGTGTTTCTACTTTTGCTCTCATGTTCCAATGAATTTCATTGAGATTGAATGGTTGATCCATGTGCAAATGCTAAAGGAATCAATCCCAAACGTTAACATGTTCTATAATTTTTTGTTCTTGCTGGTTTGCTGTTTCTTTTCTTCGAGGATCATTTTACTTCTTAGCTTTAATATATTTCTCCTTATTAGATTTTTTTTCCTATCAAATACACAGAGGCACAGGGCATAAGAGACTTACTCTAATGCATTTCAGTTTATCATGAAAAGTATGTATTCGTAGTGAATTTAATGCTTTCCTAACTAAAAGTGTAACATCCGTAACATTACTTCTATGGGAATGCGGATTATTTAGTCATCAATCTGTGGCTTAATCCTAAAGAGTTAAAAGCAGTCTTCCTTATATGTTGCAAAATCTGGTGGCACATCAGTAGATCCATTGATTTCCACACATTATTGTTTTTATCTTTTGCCATATATTTGTGAATGATACCACGATATCTGTAATTATGTTCCTTAACTGATGCCTTTTCTCTCGGCATTTCTTTTGGGTATACTGGACAGACAATTGAGCCATCTTCTTCTTGTCAAGTGAGTTCACGGAAGGATTCAGATCTCAATCCCTCACCATCTGGTACCTTGAGTGCTTTCATTAGTTTACATTGCACACTGTTGCTTGTTTTTACTTTTAGTCATACTCCGTTAGTTGACATTGCTCATTATTTCAAGAGTTTGTTAACTCTTGATATTGTATATTTTCATGTCTTTAACAGGGTCAAAACCAATGAAGGTTCCAGTGCATAAAATGGTCAGAACAGATTCATCAGATCCTACTGGAAGGTTACATGCCTACATGCAAGCCAAGCCTCAAAACCATCTCGATGGAGGTTCTAGCTTGACTGCAGTTAGGTAGGGTTGTATCTTCTTGAAAATAACGCTTGTGCATGTGACTTTCTGGTCTTTTTTGCTTTTATCTTAAGGGTATTTATCATAAACCTGTTATTTGTTTTGCATTTTTTTTCCTTACAGATATACTTACCCTCATATATCTAGAAACTTACAAAAAATAAATTTGAAATTTCCTTCAAACCCCTCCCTTTAATTGCTTGGATTAGGGGAAAATTATGAAATTTAGTAATTTATCAAATTTACCCTTACTAAACATAGTGGAAAACACTAAATTATGTCCTAGATAGTTGCATTCAACGACCTCTTTCTCTTTCTTCCTCTATTCTCCCATACTCTATCCCCTTCTGGTGCCGATGGTGTGAGGCCATCTCCTATCACGCCGAGCAAGCATTGGATTTTGTGCTAAACCAGAGCATCTTGTTGGCGCTGAGTTCGTGCCAATGAACATGGGAAGGTTGATAGAAAAGGACAGAAAATGAAAGAAGATGAGATCACGAGAAAGAAATGTGTGGTTTGGATTCACGTAATATAGCATAATATTCAGTGTTGGGATATTGTTTACTAAGGATAAATATGAAAAACGAAATGTAACCAAGGGAATTTGAAGTGCATTTCAAATTTGAACTGGTGTTTCTTAATTTCTAGGCATGCTAGGGAATTGTAAGAAGAAAGCAAAAGAGGGGAGGTTTTTGATAATTTCCTTTTTTTTTATTCTTTAAAATATATAAATTTTCTTCCCATAAAGGAAAAGCTGGCCTTAGGTTTTCCTTCCCTTTCATTTTTTGGTATTTACATAAGAAGTTTGTATTTCAATTTCCAATTTTAAACACTCTTGTGACATGTAGCTGTATGTGCATAATTATTCTTGCAAATTCATAAAGACACCAATTGCAGGTCATCTGTTAGACAAAGAAGGAACCCAAAGGAAACTGCAGATCTTACTAGCATTCAGGACCTTATTGATGAGATCGATAGAAAATGTCATTCTGGTAAATTTCTGACCAAATGCTTTGCATTTCTATGTAGTGAAACCATCTGTCATGTAGATGTGGAAGATACCTTCTTATTGACGTGTATATTTCTGTAGGTCTACTGGACATTGTAAGACACTGCACATATATTGGAATGGCAGATGACGTCTTTGTGTTGCTTCAGCATGACACTCATCTCTATCTTGCAAATGTGGTGCACTTGAGGTAATGATTTGCTCAAGCGTATCTGGTTCAGCTATTATTACTGTCTGTTATATGTTTATGCTCAAATTGCCGTATGTTGTGTCTAGATTTTCAAAGGTTGATTGATTAGGGACTTTTCATTTGGCGGGTAAATTTGGAAGCATATTGAACAGAGATATTCCTAGCCCACAATCATGCATCCAACTGATATATTTGTACTACATAATTATAAGTAGATGTGACTTTGTTAGGATATACAACTTTGGGTGGACTTGTGTGCTTTTTGTCCAGTATTTTCATTTGTTTCTTAAACGATGTGCATTGGTCTTGCAAGCTAGGTGCTAGACGTGATTCTCTTCCTTGTGATCAGTTTCTTAACTAGTTTAATTTCTCTCTAATGGGTCTACAGCAAAGAGCTTATGTATCAGCAAGTTTTGCGCCGTTTTGCCCATTTTAATGCTATACAACTAAGTGATCCAGCACCTCTGAAGGATTTACTTTTGTTGGCACTGAAAGAAGACGATTTAGATCCAGAATACGAGGAGAACGATGAATTGAAAGAGAAGATAGCAGAAGTAATTTGTTTTCTTCCTCTATTATGTTATTGTGAAATATCTTTCTTGTTTCCTTCTGCAACTCTATTGCTAACTTTCAGAATCTTTATTATTCCATTTATTTTACTTGGGGTAATTTAGCTAGTAGTTCCTAAACTAGAAAACTAGCAATCAAGACTAGGATACTGAATCAAGTTCCTAATTAGCATAATAATTCCAATTTTGTGGATCTTATTATATCTGTACCAGTCTACCTTTTCCTGCTGGATAGTAGAGCGGCCATGGAGGAACAGTTATTTGTCATTTGCAGGACTTTCTGCACGTCTACATTTAACAATTTTACATTTCACCGTGATAAATGCCGTTACTAGCTTCTTTTATTAGCAGAGATATTCGAATCAGGAATAATTGATGAAATCTTTTTTCCCTTAGTAGGTAACAAAAGATCCAATATGAAAGTATCATAAGTAATAACTTACTGGAGTTTGTTTTATTTATTTATTTTTTAATCTCCTTCAGATGCAAATCTCTTCTTCATTGTTGTCGTTGTATCTCAAAGTTTAACATAAATAAGAGAAATAGATGTAGTTATGTAGACGTCTCATGGTTGTATTGAAGTACTTTAACATTCAATCAAAATACTATATGCAGTTTTATACAGTCACGCAGTTAGCATTATTTTTATTCATTGTATTGATGCTATTTTTTTCACCAAAGTAACTGAATGAAGTCCATAGCATTCCTTGCAAGTTTGTTTGTTTCAATTATCTGTCTTTTTCTCTTTTTATGAGTTTTGACTAAACGTACTCTTATTCTCCAGATGAATACAGATCTGTTAAAGCAAAAGGCTGAAATGCTAGAAGAGTATTTTTGCATTCATATAGACACACATGGGAATTTAGCGAGGCTTCCAGTTGTACTTGACCAATACACACCTGACATGGACCGTGTCCCTGAATTTGCACTTTGTTTGGGAAATGATGTAGGTTCTACTAAAGTGGTCCCCTATCATTATGTTTTTCTTTTTGCATTATTTCACATTTTTGTTTTTAGATACTTTAGTTTTCAATTGTTTAAAACATTTTCTTCCTACTTATGTTTATATGTCTAGTATTTTCACCCATATAGGAAAAAACTTGTAGAAAAGAAACTAATAACAAATCTATAGATTAACCTTATAATTTATACATAAAAGATATGTATAATGTCTTGTTATCATTTTCTTTTGTGCCATAAAATGTTACGTTAGCGTCAGGAAAAATTGATTTTGTTCTACCATGTCTTTTCCAGAAGAAGTCAATATGTAGTGGAAAGATAGTTGAGTGCTTTCAATTACAGGAGGAAGGTCAATACATGAATATCTAGCGATAGGCTCAAAACCCTATTTTACATTAGAGTCCACAACATGTGTATGAGAAAGGACTGCGGTTCTAGGACCCATTTCTCTTAGCTCAAGAGCTAACAGGAGGTGTTCCGTTTTTTCTTTCTTTGTATTTTAACAAACATATTACAAGGTGTGATGGCTGCACACTCTAAAATTGATATACAGACTCGTGTAGAATGTTTAGGCAATAGTTGCAAAGATCACAATCTGAAACTTTAATATTTGACTGGACCAATTGAAAGTTACTTGTGTAAATTTGATCAAAATGCTGTAGCTGTTACTATTACTATTGACGTGATTCTGTTTATATTTATTATTCAGATTTTTTGGCCATTACAGTTTGCTTGCTACAATTATATGTAAATTAAACTTTTTCAAGGATAGAGTCATCACACACTGAGAGGCTTAACTTGTTCATGGACTGTTTAAAGAATCGTAAGGTTGATAATTTTTCATTATTGAAAAGGAGAATCTCTAATATGAGGGGTGGCCCACTGCATTCATGTAACACTTTGCATGTAAATCACTTTTTTGTAATGGTTGAATTTTTATTTTCATTTGGTACTCAAATATTTTGTTGGGTGATCTCATGGTTTATTGATATTACTTTGTACGTTGTGTGGATTTTGATTTTCTATTGGTTACTGTAGGTAAACTGGGAGAATGAGAAAAATTGCTTTCAAGAAATTGCAGCTTCTCTTGGAAACTTCTATGCTATGCATCCTCCTATGTTGCCCAACCCATCTGGTGATGGTTTGAAACTTTATGAAAAGAAAAGACCTTTCAAGAATACTGAAGATAGAGAATATACCTCAGGTGATACACGTATGGCTGATTATTTCAGTTTGTTTGTTTGTTTGCTTTTTTTTTTTTTTTTATTGGTTTTTTTTTTTTTTTTCTTTTTTTTTTTTTTTTATTGGTTTTTTTTTTTTTTTTCTTTTTTTTTTTTTTTTAATAGGCTTTCTTTATATATGTGCCTATCCTTCCTACTAAAATGCAATTAACTCTTACCCAGCTTTTTTATTATTATTATGAAATACATGGCAAAAGCAATGCTATTCTTTAGATCCTACTTGATTGCCAACTTGGTAAGGACTTCTTGTTCTCCTGTTTATATTTGGTAATTTGTTTCTAATTGAACAAGAAGGAAGAAAAAACTCATCATCTATCTTATTGTTTTTGTTCTTAAAGGACTTTCAATGTTGTATCTATCCATAGCAAAATATTTGTTTTAATTTCTATTGATAGTGGAATTTTCAGAAAGTCTATTCCAATTACACTGGAATTCTTGAGAACTTATTAGGAAGCAGTAGTCTAAAAGATCTTGAAAACTTTTCTAGGCGCTTTTTTCAGTTCATATGTATCCCGGGCTTATAGATCATGTTCTTAGAGAGCTTCCTTGGTCTCTGTTTTCATGTTATACACTATTTGATATTGTAAGGAAAAAACAGATAAAGGGTCTTGAGTTTCATTGCTGAGTATTTGGATCTGCAAGGTTGCTAAAAGATCAACCAACTTTGTAACAAAAGTTGTTCCACCTGATGCATGTCTCTTAAGGGCTTTATGAATGGTTGTTGATAGGCAGTAAAACCGAATGTTGATGAAGTAACAATTGGATCTGGTTGAAAAAACTTTCTGGAGGGCGGAATAAAGCTGTCCAATTGCTGTCAAACTTGGAAAATTGAGTTTAACTGAAATAAGGGGTTAATGAGCTGGGATGTTAGTTCTGAGAAACTCAGATGTCATCTCAATACCTTAACTAACTGATAGGCAACTATGTTGAAATAATGAGATTGTGATGATTTTTTAATAATGAAAGTAACTGAAACAGGGCTTTCTGTATCCTGTACAAGCTTGTTAAGAAGGCACATTTGTTACTTGACTTGTGTGCTCTCTTTCTCTCGGAATGCTCTGCTGTCCTTTTCTTTTCTGTTCGACTGTTTATTATCATATCTATTTGTGCTTCAAACACTTTTGCTTACGTGGTACTTTTCTTTTACTTGAATTTTGCCTCTCTGTAAGCTATGTTACATAATTTATATTAATCACTTCTTTTAACATCTTTGGTCATTTCGAATGCCTTAGTTCAGCCTCACTATGGGGTCTTATCATTTTTCATATGCATTGGATTATATGCAATGGCTGCAGATTGACTATACAAGCACAACTTGTTTGTTTAATTTGTCCACTTTAGTATCATTAGGCCAGCCAAAATGGAGGAAATTGATGTGAAATGTCTCTCATTTGATCAAGGCAGTTCCTATTTTATGACTGTTCTCTATTCACAGGGTATGATGCCACAAGGGAGACTGAAATTGAGCATGAATTACTTTCGGAGGCAGAAACTGCGTGGGCCCAGCGTGAATGGTCAATCCAGCATGTCTTGTTTCCAGCAATGAGACTCTTTCTTAAGCCGCCAACTTCTATGGCTACAAATGGAACATTTGTTCGTGTAAGTTCTCTCTACAGAAAGTACTTTGTTGATTATTATCATTGCATTCTTGAGCTGTCCTTTTAAATCCGAAGATTCATCTACGCTGGGGTGGGAGGTTCACCTTGTAGGCATTACTAATGTCTTAAATTTGAGTGACATGGCTTATTTTCCCAAGGATGAAACTTAGGAATTAGTTGTTTGGCTGAATAAACACAGGAATTAGTTTTTCCGTGGTTCTTTTCCGTTTTATGTAAATTTCTAAGGTCTATTTCATCAAGTCTCATGCTCGGACTAAAATGGTTTTCAATTTTAGCCGTCACTTTCTTGAGAAACATTTTTTATCATTAGGAGACATTCTAATGGACTCCCCTGAGAAGGAAGAGTAGAAAGTATGCATAAGATCGGATTAAATTTTGTCCCGAGTTTTAAACCTTTCAGTTCTACGGATTGGATTTGGATAAAGTAGAGAGATAGAAAAACTTACCTCAAAAAAAAAAATTTTAAATGATTTTCTTGATTGTTAAGAGTTTATATAGAGTAAATTGATTAATAACCTTTAGTAAATGAATAATTTTATTGAAAACAGATGCAGAATCGAATTAAAACAAAATATATGAATTATTTCTGAAGAGGTGTCCAACAGAAGTTAGCCATTTTTGTACGTACCCCAAGAAAAATTACGATGCTACATTTTTTCCAACTTAGGCCAATTGTCCTCGTACGATTTGAATATTCATTTTAGCCTTTTATTTTCCCCATTTGTCACTTGACCTAAAATTTGAAGTGGAATCCTATTGGTTTTCTCTTTAGCCTGATATTTTCCCCATTTGTCACTTAACCTAGCACAAGTTGCTCTTACTTTGAGACATCAATTTTTCTTTCGTTCTTTTTCTTTGGTGAAAATTAGTTTAGATGTTATAAATTGTAAAACTTTTACTTTCTTCTGCAGGTAGCTTCACTGGAAAAACTCTACAGGATATTTGAAAGATGCTAACACGAATAGTTCGGGCTTCTCGGTTCATTCCGTACCTTATGTTTTGACCTTGGCACATAACGGTGATACTAGATCTGTTCTCTTTTAACTGTCCCTACAATGAAATCTTCACTGCTCGTTAAGATTTACACGGCAGATGTTAACAGGAGGGTGTAGTTGTAAATTCTGTACATTCTTTTCTAGTGAAGTAAAACTTATTGAAGTTTGTATTACCATCGTGTGATCTTGGCATTATTGAAGTATGCGTGGATAAATGGAATTTGTACATTGTTTGTTTGTTTGCTTTTAGTAGGAATACAGAATAAAGAACAAATATACTCCGAACATTGAACCACTAATCTAAGCGGCAAATTTCATTAGCCAAGGTCTATTTCGCCATGTTTTGAGCCAGCTCATTAACTCCCGCGGAATCCAAGTGAAATTGCAAATCAAACGAGAATTCGTTGTTTGGAAATCCACAACAGAACTCGTATTCATTAAATCTTGAAGAAACATTCATTACTCTATCCTAGAGACAAGCATTTATGGAGTGTTCATACCTCTTCTTGTAGCTCTCAAATCGTATTGAATCAAACGTTAGAGAGATACTTGAGCAATCAAAACTTTTATATTCAAAAACCAAGATTATAGGTTACCAAGCGCTTGATAAATTGGTGAAGTGGATAGTCAATATCCCAACTTAAAGTTGGTGGTTGTAGAAGATGTGATGAGCCTTGAATAGAGAAGTCACTGGATTGCATTGGAGTGATCAAACCGAAAAGACAACTGACATGATAAAAGAGGTCAAGCAGCCGTTTATTTGGCGATAATGGACGTGCACATATTGTTAAACTGTTACAGATTGCATTTGCCTACTCTTTCTCTACCTCTTCTTTATTATGGCAATTTCATGTTTTGCGATCAAATTGAAAGTCACTTGTGTATCAAAACTAATTAATTTAATATTTGGTATATTGTGTTGCGACCGTTATTGTTGCTCCCATCCCTCCAGAACGGTCATCCAAGCGTCGGCAAGAATTGGCAAAAACTGACCAAAATAGACCGATCACTGATCAGTCGGTTTCTTCCTATCGGTTGGTCCTCAATCTCCTAATTTTTGATAACCAACAAACACCCATATTTAAATCGAGGATAAGAGGCCACAACTTGGGGAATTTATGGGCTTCAATGGGACCATAAGGACGAAGAATGTTGTAAATGGAGTGGTGAGCAGTGTCATTGTCAGTATTCTTGTCCTTCTCACTTTATCACTGACCACCATTATGCCGCCAACCTCTCTCGCATCGTTATCACGGAAGGAGATATCGGGGTGAGAAGATTAATGGAAAGATTTTAAAACATTTTGTTGTTGGTAGGAAGAATTTAGAAGGAAATACATTTTGATGAAAATTTTGAAATCCTTAAAAACACCGTAATTTTTTATGCTCTCAGTATAACCAGATTGGAAAAGACAATCATACCAAGCACAACTAAGAAAATCCTCTCTGTTGTCTCTATTTTCCTCACCTCCATTATACGCTTTTCTTCAGTTTCTATAGTCACTCCTACGAAACACAGAGCCTAAAAGGTGACGGGGAAAACAAATGAAGAAAATAAATTTACTGAAACAAGAAAATATATCAAACTCACAAGTCAACATGACAATTGTGCCTTGAAAAAAAAAAAAATACAGATAAAACCCGCATAAAAAACGCCCGATAAATTTTGGATTTCTAAAGGGACAATTGACAAACTACAAATTTATGGTTGATTCAGGTTTTAGATGAATCATTTGTGTTGAATGTTGAAGATTGGATATTGACAATACACAATTATAGAATGTGGGGAAAAAAACCCAAAAAAAAAAAAAAATCCAACCCACATCTAAATATCTTATTATACACGGATCTACAGCTATCCAAAAAAAAAAAAAAAGTTTCTACAATTACGTCTCTTGCTCATTTTTGTTTTCCACATCTGCCGTAGAGAGTGAATTCATCGAAGAACACTCAACTGAAGATACTTTCCTCTGAGCCTGAAGGAGATCATTTTGGATGTTCTCAAGGCAAGCCAAATTTGGACAGAGCAGATTGGAACAAGGATGAAAATTCCTGTGATACACTTTGATCGTCGGCTTTAATCTTTATTTGAGCTTTGGAATTTGCTGTGCTGATTACACACTCCACAAGAAAGATAGATGGTTCTTCAGCTTTTTGTGCAAAGAAGAAGAACTTGAAGTTTGGGGATTGGCCACCGGATGCAATGCAGTGAACGGAATGACTTTGCATGTGTAGAAGTAGTGCCTGAGGTGTCGTCAGTGCTCCGACTCCTGAAGGGCTCATAGAATATTCCTGCACCAGATAACAACACACAATGCATCAGCAACGACTTTAAAAGAGAATCATACTGGAACCAAGAGGCTTCCCAAACGGCAAACTCATGGTTCATAAAATGATTAACAGAGGTATTTTCTCTGCTAACGTTCAACTGAAAGTACAGTAATGAGCTTGGATAAGTAGAAACGAGTATGTTAAGAGCCATATAGCTATAATTTACAAAATAAACCTGTGATAAAGATATGGGCAGTTGGCGCCACTTCTGCTGAAATGTGCTTGGATCTAGAGCAGCTTTCGGGTTGAGATTCAAAGGAGGTGGTGAAGGTGCTGGTGCAAGTGCGGGTGTTACTGATACACCTAGACCAAGTAGATTATCAATTGCGAAGCTTGATTGTGAAGCACTCGATGGCACCACGGTATTTGTACTTAACAAGTCTGACTGTGGTTGCGAAGCAACGATGGACACTAATGAACTATCATATGAAGGAGCATTGTATGCACCATTGTTACTAGGAACTCTAGTTTCCTCCTCCTCTGAGGTACTTAGAAGCAGGTCCTTGTCATTTGCCTCAACTCTATGACCCGGAACACCAGTATCTGTAGATTCTGTCCCAATAGATAAGTTTCCAAGCTCGTCTGAAAACTCAAATGGACCACGGTGTTCCTTGTCAGTGAACATATAAGATGGCTGCAAAGATCCAAATATTCCAATCCATTAGCATCCCATTTTCAACATTCTAAAACATATTTCAAACCAGCCCAAGAAACGTGTGCGTGTGAAAATAATGCCACCGGGTGCACATAACCAGCAGAGTCTCGGTGTCTTATAAGTTTTTTTGGGGCTCAAATAGAGGTGTCTTAGATTGTTTATGAATTGCAACATTCCTATTTGTATCAAATTTCAAGTTGATAAAAGAACAAATTACACTGACACCATGATCATGTAAAGAACAAGTTCGCACACTTGGATAGACTTTACAAGCTAGTTACAAGTGTTTTTTGCGAGCAAACCCTATCTAAAGATCCATGTTACGTCCATTACATACTAACAATCTGCGACAATCAATTGTGGGAAGAACCAACTTCATTGTATATGGAGCCAATTTATTGATGACAGTACAAAAGGATATTTATTGTGAGATTATAAAATTATTGTTGGCCCACCTCTTAACAGCTTAAGCTTTTGGAATGGATTGGTAAACTAACACAGTATTAGAGCGAGAGGTCCCGAGTTCAAACCCCTGCAATTACACTCTTTATCCCCTTTAAGTTGTCATCACATGTTGGATCTTTAATATATAATTTATGCTTATTATCAAATATTCATGTGTTGGGCTTTCCAATTCATTTACCCACACGATTGTCTATTGTCCAGCCCACACGTGATGAGTGTGAGATTATAAAATTATTGTCGACCCACCTCCTAACAACTTAAGCTGTTAGAATGGGTTGGTAAACTACCATTTATCAATAGACCTGTCACCTTTTTAAAAACACTTGTATCAACTCCCTACTTCCCTCTTCATTAGTTCCCATCTCTAGACCTTTTTAAAAAACTTTGATTACCCAACCAGAAAGTTGATCAACTATCCCATGACCAGTAAAATTTATTAGAAACTTATAATCACAATATCATTCATGGAGAAGAAAACTAAGCTTACTTTCTGGTATACAACAGATAAAGTGTTAAATTCGTCAAAAATGCGATCTTTGACTTCACTGCTCTGAGTATCAGCAAAGACAGAAACAGCTTGCTTCGGGGGGTTCACCACACGTTCTGCTACTGTTACGTTATACTGCAAAAGCCTGTAGTAGAATAAGGCTCGGTCATGAACATCCTGCAACCAACTAAAATTCTCATTGAACATTCCCAGCCAAAATACTCCAACAAAACATAAATATATGAAAGAAAAAAAACATCTGGATCAACATGTACCTGGTGAAAATCAGCAACCCCAGCAGCCAATGCAGCTCCCAAGGTTTTTTGCGTCTCGGGTGGCCTTTTGAAAAAGCACTTCATTACTGCTGTTAGAAGATGTAAGCGAACCTGTGCAATGACAATCAGACAATCAAGCAAGAACTAAGAAGAAATATACATTGCAAGCTATAGTTCAGTTCTAATGTCCAAACTAGAAGAGAACAGATTCAAAAGATTGCTGTCATTTCATTCCTGTGACACGAGAAAGTCGTTAACATCATCTTTTTTTCCCCCTTATTCCTGTTAAAGTTGTTTTTTTCTTTTTCAAAAAAAAAAAAAAATTGTAGTTAAGGGTTCAAGGCATTGTGGACAGGTGGAGAGGACTTCCCAAATTACCACGTAGTAAAGAAATAAAAGTTCAAGTCACTTCATAGTTGACTTTGTTTCATTAGAAGGTGGAATATATCTGTAGCTATAAACAAAAAAATGACGGTAAAAAAAAAAAAAAAAAAAAACAGGTGAAGGATCAAATTATTCCAAGTAAAACAATTTCACAAAGCTTATAAGAGGCAGTGAGCATCTTAATTACCTCAGCAGAATGCTCATCATCCCAATTTTCAATTAAACTCTCTAAGATATAAGGTGCGTCCTGCATGTCCTGAGAATATTCCCCCAACATCCATATAAGAGCTGCCTTGGCCTTAGGTTCTTGAATATTTTTGCTGCTGATATTGCCAACAACTGCGATGCAATCATGACTCCATTGTGGATATTTCCTTAGCAGATCTTTTACAAGGACCTGCATAGAAAACTCCAAACTTGTATCAATTCATGTATACGCAAACAATCAGGTTATTTCTTTATTCTCTCTCTCTCTCTCCCTCCCTCTCTGTCTCTCTGTCTCCCTCCCTCCCTCCCTCCCTCTCTCTCTCTCTCGATGTCGATGTCGAGTCAAGACGCACTTTGAACATTCACATATGTTTCATAAAATACATGAGTAACAAGTAAGCATAAATCTACATCCAGCACCAAACAGGTATAGATGTAACATTTACCAGAGCTTCAGAAGTCACATAGTCCTTTTCCATCTCTAGAAACTGAAGAAGCCGATCAACAATTGCATTCACATCATACTGCTCCAGTGCTATTTTCCCAACAGCACGAATTGACTCTCTTGCAATGGGAATGTCAACATTTGCAGCGTATTCGCATAATTCCGTCACTGCAAAAATTCAAGGTCATGCATTAGTTATTTTTGAAAGCTAAAAAATAAAAATAAATGAAACAAAAGCACCTACGACCAGAGAATGGCTCCAAAAGCATTACAGGATTGAAATTTTACATGCATCCAAATGGTGTTCGCTTACCAATTTCGTAAGTGTTACTCTCATTCGCTACTGCAGTCAACATTTCAAGCTTCAACTTTTTGACATATGAAGGCTCATTGTACTGGCAATAGAAGTGTTTGTAGTCTGAGGCAAATATATATGGTGCACGCATCACCAAGAGATGCAGGTGGCTTAAAACTGCATAAGATTGCTCTGGACTTCCTGAACTCACTAGAGTTAGGAGAGGGGCTTTAATTCGTTCATATACCTACCAATAATTATTTGCATCAGAAAATTGTTGATCTCATAAAAGTAACCAAGCTAATAACATACAGGAAAAACAACAACAACAACAACACAACACAACACAAAACAAACTGGGCCAAATAACAGATACATATCAACAGGGTTAGCATCAAGTAAAATATCTCCTTAAATCATTTCTCTACACCGTACTTATAAATGTCTTTCTCAGCTGGTTAATCCGCAAGGTTTATTCTCTTGTAATTATAGAGAAGGAAACTCCAACTTAGCTACAAAAAACTGTTTCGATTGACCATATAATTTCCATTTTTCATCACATGAACATTATATGCTTTCTGAATTAAAAGATAACATCGTAGAGTTAAAAAAGTTAAATACATACCTGTTGATGAACATCAGTCATGGACAAAGTCAAATGTAGAAACAGTTTGGTAGTTGCCAAAACAACAGCACCATTTGCATGGTGAAGTCTATCTTCAAGAAGATTCATTATGTCAAATATCTCATTGCTATCAGAAGGAACGTACTTAGCCACCAGCTCTAGTACAAGACACTGTGCCCATTCACTAAATTCCTTGATTCTGCATTGCATAACACGAAACAACATAAGCTAGAGCTTCTAAAAACGTGACTACCAGGCTCATATATTGACAGTTTATAATTCACCGTAAAATCAGTAACGGAATAAACTTTGGTAAAAGCTCGTGTGCCATGCAAAGAACTTCACCATAATTTACTAACGCTTGTATAATAACACCCACACATACCCAGACACAAAAGTTTCATGTGTTATTTTCTCATTCAGTAGCATACATGATAAACGCATCCCTTCCACAGGCCTATGAACTCTTTCTGGCAGCCAAATGAATGCCATGATGGCTCCCTAGTAGTGAAGTAATTTGATTTTAGTCTCATTATCCAAATGTGACAGCCTAACAAGTATTAAGCACAGAGCACCTTCTCCAAATACTCTTCCTCAACTCGACATAAAACACAGGATTAATAGATTATCATTCTGACCTCAACAAACTACAATGTTAGTAGTAATATGTAAACAGTGGAAAAAAAACAAAGAACAACATAGTTAAACCCGAAGAGAATTTAATCTTTTAATAAAAAGAAATGTAAACATACCGATTTAAAAGATAGTAAACAACTGGCTTGCTAAGTAGAGTCTCCCTATCCCTCAATGCTTCCTCAGAAGTGGTTGCTTCTGAGCTCCAAATTTCTTGTAGGGCAGACAGACAATTTGCAACAACCTGGTGATGCCACAACACAAAAAAGTGCGTAATTAAAATGGCAAAGTAACATTTCCTGTTCAAAAAATTTATCACACAACCGTTATGGCCTCACCTGTGTATCTGGATCATTAAGCAGCAAATGCTTAAGAACAGCCGGAAAATCTGCATCGACACAAGTCAAAGCCGAGATATGATACAATTTCAAAACCCCCATAACCGCAACCGTCCTTACATAACTATTGCTGTCCTTTAATCCCGATCCCAATTGCCCCACCAAATACTCCACCAGATTTGCCACTCGCAGCGAGCACAGACTCCTCAAGGCGAGCCCGCGGATCATCGGATCCTCGTCCTTGCAATCTCGTTGAAGGAAATTGATCGTCAAAAGTGCGAGATCGGGGTTGACCTTCGCGTAGTTGCCAACATAAAGATAGCACATTTTCTTCAGAACAATGTCCGGCGTTACCGAGCACATCACCATCTCTCCAAAAAGCGACGAGACATCAATGCCAATTGTCATGTACGATATGACCTTCTTGAAAAGCTCTCGCTTCGAATCGTCCACTCCCGGAGCTCGGCTTCCGGCAAGCTGCCGAAGCTGCAATTTGAGATCCGACACTTCGCTTTTTCTAATTAAAAATTACATTTTGAGTAAACCAAATTATCAATATACTCAGTTCAAACTAAAACTCTTCCAAAATGCAATTCTAATGCCAAAATCAAATCATCGATGACTATCAATTGAGCTATGTTTGGCTGCTGAGAAAGTAAAAAAGGGGGAAAAAACACTAAACACACTAAATTCACTACGGTTTTCTCACTTGCTACTTAGATGATTCATGCATGAAAGTTAACCAATCGTTTGGGAATCAAATCGTAGAAAAGTCGATTGCTTCTCTTTTCCTATATTCAATTGCATTATTTATAATCGTAAAGACTTTCTCAGCAGCCAAACAGAGTGTTACGCCAGGGTTTTGAGACATTATGTTGGCTTGGCTTACCCGGAAGGTTGAGACGGCGACGGAGATCGGTTGGACTGAGCCGGCGGAGCCATGGCGGATCGGAGTTCAGCTACGTTAGGTTACGGTAAGTTTCTGTCAGTACGATGCCGTACGATGAGATCGGTGATCAGATCGAGGACGAGAGTTTAACAGAGAGAGAGAGAGAGAGAGAGGAGTTTGGTCAGTTGATTGATCTGATGGGGGAATTGGGAAATGAAATGAATTTCCGCTGTGGTGCGAAAATCTTCAGAGTGAAGAGTTGATGTTGACGTGGCTGAATCTGATTGGTAGGGTACAGGCGTAGGCTTTACTACAGTGAGGCGTCGCTCGTCGTCTGACGAATGTATCTACTATTCCTTTCCAACTGATCTATTCTGATCTTTTTGCTTTATTCTGATCTTTTTGCTTCAACGAAACGGCGCCGTATGCTCCTCAACAAGAAAAAAACGTGAAAAATATTACAAGAAACTTAAAATGATTAAAAATCTTAGGCCTCGTTTATTTCACCGATTCGAGTTTTCAATTTTAAGTTTTTACAGTAAAAAATTCTCATAAAATGTCACATCTAACTTTTTCTGTTACAGTGAAAAGTTCTTAGAAAAATGTCATATCTCAACACGAATTGAAAACTCGAATCCACGAATTGAACGAGGCCTTAAAAATTTGGTTCTAGAAAAATGGAATTTCTCTTCTAGTCTCTGCTTATCAATCGTTAGATTTATATTACTTTTTTAATTTAATTTAATTTTTAATCAAATTTAATACAGATTTAACGATTGATAAACATAGAACATTTGTGTTCTAAAAAAAACACCAGAGAAAGTCTCATAAAAAAAATTTAATAACTTGCTTGGTAATAATTTTAAATTTTAATATAATAATTATATCTATATATGAAAATGGAGAAATTCTTACTTAAATATATATGCGACCGTGACAACTGATTTTTGATTTAGCAAATAAATTATATGAATATTGAGTAATAACATATAAGTTTTAAATAAATGTCATGTGAAATTATTTGGATTTTTCCCCTAAAGAAAATCCACTCCTAAATCAGCTAAAAAATTATCCACCCATAAATCTGTAGGTAAAAGGTTAATAGTATTAACCTTTTTTTTTAAGGTCAATAATGTCATCTATAAGTTACTAGAAGATAAAAACGGTTAATTACTATTTATGGTCAGAGGTGGTTAGAAAAATACCGATTTCGAAATGTACATTTAAACATTTGGCACAACACAATCAATATTTTATTTTCTTTGGAAGGAGAGTTAAAGTGCTCAACTAGAAGTGAAAAACACACTTTGACCATAGTGAAGAATGCACACACATACTTGGCCATAGTTAAGAGCATTTGACCAAGGGTCGAGCAACACGACTAGTTGTAAGACTTCAGGGTAGTAATTCGTATCACGTGTCGTGTTTTAATCATTTGTTTTTTTTAATTTGTAGTTAATCCAAACACGACATGTGACACGAAATTTTTTAAAAACCGCAATACGAACATGACACGACTACTTTACGGGTTGACATGACACGAAAATGATCTATGATACAAAATTGATCCGTAAATCTGAAATTGACACGATAATTATATACTTTTCTTTAATTTTTTACATATTAAAAATAATTTAAAATTCACAATACGCTAAAATACAATAACATCCATCAAAATTAAGCAAATAACAATATAATATTTTTTAGTATAACTATCATGATATCACAAGTTCATAATAAAATCTAAAATATGTAATGAAAACTATATATATATATATATATTTTTTAATTTTTTACGAGTTTCGTATATTGTTCAGGTTAAGCGGATCCAATTCGAAATTGATATGTGTTTTTCATATCAATTTCAGATCGATTCAATTCTTACCCGAACTTTTTTTTATCAACTCTCACTCACGAAATTCATGTCGTGTTGTCATGTCGTGACGCATATTACCGGTCCTAGCAAAATTCGTAAATTATGAAATTAATTTACGTTATTCTGCCTCTCTACTTGACTTCTTGTTCAGCGTATTGACTTAAGCATCACAGAGTTACTAGTCGACACCCTGGAGTACCCCGTACTGATGAGAGACATTTTCCCTTCCGTACAGGTTACGATGCGGAGTACCGCATCCGAATACCATGCACACGTAGTGTTGTGTCCACTCTTCAACATCAACACTAGAGATTCTGTTATTGTACTTTGCTCTCAAAGAAACAGAGGACAATAACTCAGAAATCATAAAAGGATTATACTTTCACTTCGAAAAAGGGAAAAACCAAAATGATTTCACGAGAAAAACCAGAAAATAAAACATATTGTAGACAGCAGAATAGCTGATGCCAAATCAATAATCCAATCGTATTTCGTATTTCTCAATGTCATACACGGCTAATACTACCAAAACTTCTAAAGTCAGCAATAAAACATGAATACCAATTGCGAAGCACATGGAAGTAACTATATTTTTAGTGGCATTACGGGTCCGAAGGTATTTGCTGCTTCACTTGCCTTGGGACGAAATAATGACGAAGATAAAATGAATATAATGAAAAAGAAAATGTAAATTGGAAATTCTCTCTATTCTACAGATACACACCCGCGGGTAAGGAAGCAACTGGCACTGCTGATGTTGTTGCCCCAAGAGGTCACCCAAGAAAAAATTCGGCATCGCAGTAGACTTCGCTCATGCTAAAATCACAAGTGTCGTGTACCATGTTTGGAAATAGCAGCCTGCTGTATATTGATATTTTTTAAAGCAGATGACTCCAAAAGGCACTGAGGATCAGCTTGGCTGAGCTCCATCTATGGAAACCAAATTCCAAAAAATGCCAATACAAGAAAATATTATTCAGTCTGTTTCCTATCACCGAGTGTTCCTCTTCTCCTCTGACCTGTGATGATATAATTTAGCAATAGCTCTCCTTTCACAGTCCTGCAATGTTTAAAACCAGAAAATGAATCAATATTACTTTCATGACATGCTCCTTTACAACCAATCTTTTATTGCTCGTTTAATTGTCAAAGCAAGAGATCCTACGGCTGCATCTCATTACAGTTTTCTCTAATTTTGGTAGGTGAATGTGATGCAATTCTGATTATTAGTCGTTTACCTTGAACATATGAAGATGAAAAGGCTTTCCAGGATTCATCCTTCTCAACTTCTGGTATGTATACGCAAAACTTAGCTGATCACGAGGAGTAAATCGGTCAACCTCATTGAACCACAGACAAGAGAACAAATTTGACATCGGTGTGTGTGCTCGTATGATAAACGACCCCTCCGGTACATCTGCCAATGGGAAAAAGAATATGTATGAGATCACTAAGAAAATGTACATTCAAGTTATGATGATCAAGAAGAAAGATCATTACTGCTGGGAAGAAGCCTGTTTGGATCTGAGGCATTAAATCTTGTCAATCCATCAGCCTGATAAAATTCAAATTGTTGATCTATGATGGTATGATTGTACTTGTTCAGTTTCTTATTTCGCACAACCTCTTCCCATACACAATGTCTGTCGTAGTGATTTGAGATTGCGTACTCATGACCCTTTCGCCACAGGAAGTATTCCAATATGAGTAGAGGATCAAGCTGGAGACGTAATTTGCTATCCAACCAGATAGAGTACCTGCCAAAATTGTATAGAAGTTTCAGAAAGAGCTTCTTTACATAAGAAAACTATATAACCAACATATAAACGTTGTTAAATTGGTGCTGAGAGCATCGCTGATTCTAACAAACGATATTCTTAAAATCAGTTGCTATAGAAATAGGACTACATAATATTGCTTCCAATGACCATAATTTTTGGGTGCTAAGAAAGATTGTAAGATCAGCAAAATATTACACCCTATATTTAGAAATTTGCAACAAACCATCAACTCCATTAGTTGGAAGTTGTGATATAATTTGGCTAGTGATACACAACATATCTTCTGTAAGTTAAAATATTTTTCAAGTATCCTGAATGAACCCAAAAAAAAAGTGCATCGTTCTAAGATGGAGAATATAAATATAATCACCTCAATATGTAGTTTAGTTTCTTTATACATAGTTTTCTTCAGATAGTTTCCCATTCGAAGAAGAACAAATTAAGTAAAAGGACAAGCAGTCCACAGAAGGAAAAACACGAAGTTACAACAAGACCCTTAAAACCTCTCATCTTTTTAGCCATAGTGCTACAGAGCATTATTTCCTGAAGATCAGATATTTAACTCTGACATTGTATTGTGAACTCAGAAAGGCAAACAGGAACAAAATACCTGATCGTCAATATTGTATCCAAAATAAAGATGCATGTAACGCACAGCAAAGATATAAACGACAATTATGCAGGAACTGAAAGGGCTTAGGAACAAGTTAATGTTGTTGTTAGAAGCAATAAGGGAATGAAGATTATGATAGCCGTTCTCATGACTACGTATACACAAGCAAACAAATGAAAGACTATAATGCATAAAAAACTGAAAGGGCTAAGAAAAACGTTCGATAGCCGTTCTCATGACTACGTATACACAAGCAAACAAATGAAAGACTAACGCATAAAAAACTGAAAGGGCTAAGAAAAACGTTAATATTGTTGTGCACTAAGGACCAAAGTGTGACAATCCTGCAGCACCACTATTAATGGTGTTGCTCTCACCTTGCGGAAGGAAAAAGCCGATGTGGTAAAAGTTTTGGTATTTTTCCCACTCTTCGCATATCAGTATATGGCAAATTCTTCACCACAACAATCTTCCATAATCCAATAAAACCCATTCTATCTGGTGTGTGACCTTCTGAAGAAAGCGTTTGCAAAGTAATCTCGTCAATGAACATCACAAAACAGACATTTTTCCTTGACAGCTTAGTGACCTGAAATTAAAAAATTCATAATGAGCCATCTCCTCTAAGTCTAAATAACAGCAAAAGAAAAATACTAATAATAAAATAAAAATGGCTCAGAGCTACTTGAAACTTAGTGACAACAGTACTGAACTCTCCTGGACAAGTTACATGATTAAACTTGCAAATGGGATTATGTAGAACATCTCTCACTCACTTTTAAACAGCAAGACACTTTTTTTTTTTCTAATTTACAAACATGCTCAATGATAGAAAAGTTCCGAGTACGACACTATATTCAAACGGCAATCACTCCATGGAATCTACATGGCATAAAAGGAATAAAATATAATGCTACGGAAATATAAAACCAATCTTTTCATCCCCTAAAATAAAGTAATGTCCATACCGTTTTACCAGTAGGTATTCTCAAGCGATCCGAATTGCCAAATATACAGGACATGACGGCAATATGGCACCTGCTCATGTAATTTTGATCATCTTCCGCCAAATCAAATCCAGTACTTCGGGATTCTTTAGGAAATTTGATAAAGCCACAATTTATTTTTTGATCTTGAGCCAAGAATGAATTTTCTCTTTCCTGCAAACTCTGATGCCCAGCAAATCTGGGTTCCCAATGCTCTACACCATCAGGCTTGTCCTCTGTTTCAGTATACTGTAAGCTAAATCTTGCAAGTTTCCGACTTTCTAGAGGTTCTATAAGCTGTGACGAAGAGTTTAAAATTTTCATCTCACAAGAACCTGACGAATTTGAATATGAAATGTCAGGCACATAGAAATAAATATCCAGAATCACTACTAAATGAACACCTAGTTAAATGACTTCATGGTTGTGAAAAATCCAGCAGTTAGCCCACCTTAATGAATCACCAGTCACGGCCAACTTAACAAAATCATTTAAATCCAAAGAACCAACTCAAATAAGCTATAATTGGTAAGAAAACACCTATGTCACTACTTCGAGAAGAAAGGAAACCATAATCCAGCGGGATAGCCGACAAAGTAACTCTTAATATTTCTTTCTTGTTATGGAAATTTAGTCGAGTACATTCATGCATCAACATAAAACCAGGTCAAAATTTTCTTCCCTAAATCTTTTACCAAATTCACATGCTATCAACATCCACAAGAAAAGTGCAAGTTTTGGTAGTACACAAGTATTCAACCAGCTGCCAAGTAAATGCTGAAAACCAGTTTTAATGTATGACTTCATACCTAGAACAGTCGATCCGTTTCAATAAACTCCTCATTTAGACACTTCTAAAACCTCATAGAGCCAGCTCTACATCCCTTAGTAATACCTCAGAACTTCACCTCGTGGTTTTTCCATGGTCATTTAATCTGAGCTCTTTTCTAAAAAAATCCCATATTACTAACAAGCTATATCTATTTAGTTGAACTAGTTATTCCTCTATTCAGAGGTCTAATATGTAAAATAAATAACATAAAAAGCCACAACATTGGCAGCAGACAGAAGTGCCATGATGCAAAGAATTGTGGAATGAAGCAACATAAAATGCACTGTATGTACACTGTCGAGATTATCATTTCATTCATAACTGTATTGACAATCAAAGAAAAACAATAGTAAGTATAGTATATCCATTACGTTTTGTTTGCAAGTAATGACTCGTTAAGGAGATAAAAGACAAAAGAAATAAATTTGACAATCCATTATGGATAAGATAAATGTTCATCGAGAAACTACAGGGCATCTATCAATTTAGAAACCAAAAAGAAAAAAGAAAAAAGAAAAAAAGAAACAAAAAAAGAAAGATTACCCGAAAACTTGCGACGCTTTCCTTTCCTTTTTGAATCTGACCGTGACCTTCTTGACGATTGACCATCAGTTCCGCTAACATCTTTGGATTTTCTATCAGCTTCCTCAAGATTTCGAGAATGCTCAAAAGAGTCCTCCTCATGGGATTTAGTGGACATACCCTCAACTCTCTGGGCAATAGTTTGATTATTTGACTTGGTTTCGCCATCTCTACCATCTTCATAATGGGATTTTGCTACATCAAAACTTTCCTCTTTGTCAAGTCTAGTATCATCATACTCGTCCCCACGAACATCATGATAATCTATCCCATCATCATACTCGTCAAAAGAATCAACCACATCATTTTGCTTCTCCAAATGCTCATCATCAGATTGCCGATTTTGCTGCACATCTTCTTGCAAAAAGTTCCGCGAATTCTTCAAAGAGGCCTCATATTCTGCCTCGTACATTTTCAACTCATCACGCCCTGCTTCATTGTACAACCCAACGCCTTTCCCATCCGAACCCTTATGGGAACCAGCACTAACAGATTTCTTCTCAAAGTTCTTCCCTTTCCCCGAAGCATTGCCATTATCTTTAGCCTCATCCCCGGCAGCTATTCTACTATGCTCTACCACATCCTCATTGTAATCATCATCCCTTCTCCTGTCATCCTTATCCCAATACCGTGAATCTCGGCCATGGACCACCGAGCCCTGGCCGAATTTGAGGACTTTATAAGTCTCCGCCCGCGTCACATTCGCTAGAAAATCAACGTCATCATCCTCACCGTGATATGTATTCACTTCTAAATCAGTACCCAAAAAAAAATCACTGTCAGTTTCAATTCTGAGCCCAGCTCATCAACCACCCCAATAACAATGCCAAATCTGGTTCTTTCCTAACAGAAATTTCCACCCCTCTTTTACCACAAAAAAAAAAAAAAAACACCGAGATCAAACATTCCAAATACAAAACAAGTGTTAAGAAATTTTTTTTTCTCGGCAACCAAACAAAACAGTAAACACACAATGCACATAAATCACGATCAGAGTAAGAAGGAAAATTTAAAAATTTAAGAAATACTATAAGCAGATTCTCCGCATAATACTCTACGCTTTCTCTAACTTTCTCCAACTTTCTAAGCAAACAAACAAAAGAAGAAATCTCATAAAAAAAAGAAAGAAAAAACCTTCGGTGTCTCTGGAGATGAAGTAGTAAGCAAAGACGGTGGCGCAGAAGACGAGGGAGAGAACGGCGACGACGGCGCCGATCGAGAAGGAACCGCCGAGAAGACTGCGGGTGGG